CAGGGACATAAAAAGTACGAACTGCAGACGAGTCCCAAATAGGTTGTTGGTTATCATAAACATTTCTATCACTCAATATCATAACCTTGATTTGGTTTTTCCTACCCGAATAGAATGAATTATTATGCCTAAATTCAGCATCCTAAACTACTATTTCTCCCAGGTGACTTAAACTTTCAGTTTATCAGACATGATCTATGATTGATATTTTCAGGTTATCATGGCGATAGGTCGCGATCCAACATGGGACCGAAAAGCCATGGAATCACTTGGACTGAAGATGGACAAGTATGTTGTCTTGTTACGCAAAACTATTGATTTCTCATTATCTGATGTCATGTGTGTCTCCAACTTCCTGAATGTTTGTTTGATCGATCATGCGGCCCACTGTGATTTTATAGCATCACAAAAAGCACACAGGGACAGTGCATCTGGTAGCCGTTCTCGGCCCGATGATGATGATGATGAAGACCCGTTTGAAGCAGTTTGCTAGCCGTTTTCATAAGATGCTATTTCCGCTAAGTTGTCACAGTCCTCACATGATGGAATGTGTTTCGCCAATCCAGAAACCGGTATTTCGTTGATTCCATCGATGTCAATATCTGTGTGATTCTATCTATGCAGTAAGTAGAACAGCAAACCAAACCTTAGTCTTTGAACGAAGTTTCGATCAGATTTGGAGGAACTTTTCTGTGTAATCAATTGGTCAATTGCCTCATCAACTGCTCCGGTAGACCGCCACTTTGATACAAAGCTACACCAATGTCTTTTTCTAGACTGGACCATAGAAGATTCGTTCTGTTGTTGGGAAGATGAATCAAGGATCTGGGTGGCCACGTCCAGCCGGAATAGCAAACGTCAACGTTTCAAGCGTTTTAAAAGATCCTCTTGTTTTGTTTTGCCGTCATGTAGTAGGCGTAACTGACACAAACCATGTCGACAAGTTTTGCCCCGGTGGCAACCGTGAGTGAATTACTTCCGTTTGTTTTCAGAAGCCACAGGTCACTGGTTACAATGCATTCATTGTTACCCTTTTGCTACAATGCAGAAGACAGCTACCGATTGATCTGTAATGCTTGAATCAATTAGACAATTACGACGACAGTTAGTCAGTTCTTTCGGTGAAGTACAGTGGATCTTCGTGTACAACGTAGCGATGCTCGGATCGCTGCTATGTTTTTTTGGTTTTACGTCTTATACAATCTGACTGTCAGTGTGTGCATTATGTTAGCATCTTACCCTTCATTGCAGATCGATAGTATTAAGTGCATTTGCGTGTTTAACTGGATGTATGCTAGCTGATTGGGTGTCAGAGGTTTAATTTCTTTCTCTCTGTATGTTCTCTATCCGCCAGCATTGTACGACGTTTTACCACAGTCAAGAGCGTGTTTTCTACCTTTATGTGCGGTGATGTAATGCATATTATCCAACCGGTTACGTAATCTAGTTTTCCGTGCACGGAAGCTAACCACACGTTCTGTTGTCTCCCGTCAACTTGATAGCTAGTATTGATGGATGAATACCGACGCCACCCATATTTTTTTCCAATAGACACACATGAGTTGTCTTCGTGAATTCACATAACAATCACGTAACACATGATGCTGCTTGTTTTCGGCAACCTGACACATTGTTTTACTTCGTTTACCCGTTTCAAAGCCATTTTACACCCCGCAGCAACAGGGGACGATGCACCACCCATTAGATAAGAACAGGAAAGCGATATAGTCACCTGGTTCTACTAACTACTCTGGCTACGTATACCACCTGGTTATTGGTCAACGTGAGCCAAAGTAACCTTATAACTCAGTCAGAATCGCTCGGTGGAAAACAGATTCGGAGAAAATGAAGCACATTGTATTTATTTGGGTCTATTTTCCAAACTGTCACTGATCCATTGAAACGTTTAATCATCAGCCAGCATATGAAAAATGTAACTGTAATCGGCACATTGACAAACTATTTCGGCTAGTTCTGTTTTTGTGCCGTTTCTCTCTGTTGAAATGGGATCGAGCAATTCCAACTCGTTTGCATTTGACAATGATCTAGTTTTTTCTTCATTCCCGTCTATCTCCGTCCCTACCGCACTGATTTTCTTTTCTGAATGCTCTTTTCTCTGTTGTTTTGGTTTCAGAGCCAATCGAGTTATTTGCTCCGACAATGAACAGTCTTCGGTGGAGAACATCTACGCTATCGGAGATGTGGTTTCCGGCAAACCTCAACTGACACCCGTGGCCATTCACGCGGGTCGTTATTTGGCCAAACGATTGTACGTGGGTGATGTGGAACTGGTACGTGGATGTGGCACTTTTTCACCAGGATATGCTTAGGCGAGAAACAGAGAGAGAGAGAGATGACTCAGTTAAGGAATGAATCACTCGGGTAAGCCATGGTGATCCAACGGGAACACGGAGTGGCATAGACGTTATAAACCAGAAGAACTTATAAGGAAAATCGATCTGTGAACAATTGCTAAATTAAAAAGTGCAAGCAAAGGATCAGCTGGGAAGCACAACTGAACAGGAGTTTTGACCTGGTTGGGTCTCATCAGCGTAGTGCACGAATCCATCCACTCGACTGGGGATCTCGAACCCGGGACCTTATCACAGGTTGAACGCAAGCATACTACCCACTTGGCCACTCCGGGGCAGCTGATCAGACCATTTATCATCTGGAATATACACGCTATATAGCACAACCCATCTATGCGAGCTTGTTGCGAGGCCCTAAATTTGAGCGTAGAAGATATTTGTTGTACTCCAGAAGTCTTCAACTGCCGATGATTACTTAGTTTGGCGTGGGTTGGATGGAGCGAACGTGCAAGCAACTCTGAGGTAAGGTGTCGCGTATTTGGTATTGATTCGATGGAGAATTCGTCGTCCCATCGAATTCACATTAGTCGGCTTCGCTGGTTAGGACACGTGTTGCGCATGCCCAGTCATCGTCTACCGCGCCACGTGTCATTCGGAGTTGCTACTGAAGGTTGGAACAAACCACGAGGAGCTCAACAGATGACGCGGAAGCGAGGCATGAAGAAATGCACAGAGCGATTAGGTAGAGTCGGTGTCTCCCGTCTTCCAGGTTGGGGTTCAAAAGACTGCAACTGGTTGACTGGAGACACTGAAGGATACGACAACTAACCGACAGCAGTGGTGTTATTGTTATCATTTCTTATCAGGTCAGAATGCTTGAAACGGTATGTATGCACACGTAGATTGTGTACTTCGTGTTCGCCATAGAGGTTCAGTTTCTTTGCCTCCCCCCAATTAGGCCCCATCCCTTTCCATTTTGTGCTTTATCACTTGATTTGTGTACATTGTGAGCTTGGCAGCGATCAATGGAGTTCGCTTCACTGTATCTCGCTGTACAATAATAATGATGTTCCGCGTATCGGCCCTAGCTCAGCTCATCTGTCCAGTGTTTTCCAGTTGACGCCTCATTTACGCGACGAATTCATCATATAAACAAAGCAAATCATCCAGTTCTCTCGTACAAAAAAATCAGTTTGTTTTGGGTAAAAGTAAATACCGAACTTGATTTTTCCTAGTGTGCAAAATCAACTGGTCTGTTTCGTTCACTATAGGAGGTGAGAGACACTATCTAGAGGCGCCCCATTTGAGTTACTTCTGACGATATCCTTGTTACCACCAACTGTGTGTATGGTTTATCTGTTGAATGCACCGTGTGAATAAACGTTCGCAAGGATGATGTGTAACGATCCTATCACTGACTGTTCACCCGAAAGACCTATTCTCATCCGAGTAGTGATTGTATTGTTTCACCTCTACCATTTATTTTCCCTGTTAATGCTACACCCATTTCGTGTGTGTGTGCTTGCTATTCATCGCCACGTTGCCATGTGTACACACTCGTACGTCGTTTTCCACATTTGTCCTTACGTCCCATCTATCCATCCCCCTCTTCATCGTGTTTAGACGGATTACGTGAACGTGCCCACGACCGTGTTTACACCAATCGAATACGGGGCGTGTGGACTGAGTGAGGAGAATGCGATTGCGAAGTACGGACAAGAGAACATTGAGGTCAGTTAGGTTTGGTCGCTCATTGACCGTTTCGTAATGACCTTGAGCTTCTCGGTCAGGAGGCGTACGATGACGACAAAATTATCGAGTACTTTTGTTTGCTGTTAGCCCCCTCTCCACCTGAGACTGATTGTTTTTGTACTGCTTCGGTAATGTTCTTTCAATCAATAGTCATCTATATATACCACTTATTATGAAGTATTCCATAAAGACTCTCAAGTCACGTACGTTGCGGTTAGTAGCATCTAACCTACCTACAAAACATCGAATCATAGCATTGTTTTATCAATGGACTGGTTCTGAAAGAGCTGTCTACATAAAATTCACCCGGTGTTGCAAACGACGTTATTGTGACGAAAATACATTTCCTTTGGTACAAGTATATGAACGAACGGACAAAAGATTACTGGATACACATACCTGACGGGCGGCAAGAACCGCGAAATCGGTCATGTGTTTCTAGGGAAATTTTGTACAGTCATTCACATACTACTTACTGTGTATCATTTATGTATTATGTATCGAGTTCTTTAGTGTCAAATGACTTTATTTATGATAATGCTTGACGTAGAACGTTAGGCAGTTGTTTCGTCCCCTTTGAGACTCGTCTGTGGTGTGTACTTTTTGTCCCTACCGGAACTCAAACCGCGCACTGCTGATGAGTACCCAAACGGATGAAACAACTGTCTAATGTTCTTTGTCGTTTATCGCAAGTAGTGAAACCCATAACCACAATACCACTAACAATGGGTGGTGGTGGCGCAGTGGTTTAGTTGCTGTCGCCGGCGTGCTTTGAACCCTGTGGTCCGAGGTTCGAGCCCCGTCTCCCAACTTTGGTGGTATACAGTTTTGCTGTCATCCAGTTCTATACCCCGCCTGACCTAATGGGGCCTTATGTGGTTCGTCACTTCAAGTCCCGAGGGTTAGGTTGCCGGTTACCATAACTGAACAGCAGGTCTTCGTGACTATGGGGTTCCATCCCGTCTGCTGTCCAACACACAGTTGTGTAATTAAAAAAATGAGTTGAAACCAAAGGCAACAGTCTGAACCTAAATCATAGTCCCAACTGGCGGTCGATTCTCGTATACATTGAAAACTAGCTTCAGTGGTTTCAAACAAGTGGAAGTTCGTCTAATTCGCTGTTGTTTTTGTTGTTGTTTCAACATTCAGAACTGACCATAATAATCCCTTTCCGTTGGTTTGAACGTATGAAACAGTTTGGGGTGTACATAATGATATTTTTGCAACGTAAAGCAGTGTTTAGAACGAGAATAGTAAAATTGATTGTGGAAATTGAGCTTCACTCGAAAAAGAATCCGCTCTACGGTCGTGATAGTTCATTGTTCCGACTCACTCCTAAAAATGAGCACACAATTCGCCCAGTTTTTTTCGACTGCAAACATCTTTTGTTCCGGGATCATGAAAGCTTGCGACGGTTCGCTGTGAATTGTCAGCTGTTTTCAATTAAGAAATTCGCTTGTAAATTCGGTGCTTCGGCGAATAGATACAGTTAGCGCTATTTAAAGTTAATCTGACATGGAGTGGAAATGGAGACTTTGTACATCAAAAAATGACTGAATTACGCAGATTTTATTGTAAAAGTTGCGGATAGATAATATTGGAATATCCGTTTGGCTTACAGATAAAGGGAGCTTATGAAGTCGAATCGCAATCTCTCTTTCCGTCCACCATAAAATTTGAAACTTGATCTCTTTGAATTGCCTTTTCTTGGCCATACATGTTCCCGGTACGATCAGACTGAAGTAATGGGACCTTGCTGTCGTTCCGGTCGTTGTCGCCCCACCATTCAGCCACCTTGAGGAGTGCTGTTTAGCACGGCCAAATACATGTCTCACAGATAGCCCCACACACAGCTCAATCCTTGGGAACAAGTAATCTGTCATACACAAAATTAGGTTGCATCTGGTGAACGAAAGATACTCGCTTTCTAAGAACACGTTCGATTCACACCTGAGTGATGCGATTTCTCTTCGTCATTCTTGCACACATTCAAACACACCACATTGCTTATCGCAGTTATGTAATATGGCTCCCATACGGTCAGATTCATCCTCTTCCACTCCATGTCTGTTTGACCATGTTGCCTTCTTCCAGTTGATATAAATGCAATATCAAGATCAACCCACGAGGGATTTTCTCCCACCTCAAATTGATCACGAAAACTGAATCCGTGCATAGAAGTTGCATTTCAAAGTGGCCGTTGCAAACATTGTAATGTGCCTCTCAATACGGGATTGTCTAACCCATTTGTATCATTTCTGGACTGTGAAATTACATTTTGGTAAAAATATTTCCCCTTTCAGGTTTATCATTCACATTTTATTCCACTGGAATGGACCGTACCTCACAGACCGGATGATGGCTATGCCAAACTGATCTGTCTCAAAACCGAGGTGAGTTCTCCACCTTCGGCCCGAGGTGGCGGGAGGGGTCTTCAAACTGACATGCGGTTGATCTGCATTTTTTCTCGGCAATGTCCACCGCTTCCATCTCGGTCGTATTTCGGGTACCTGAACTGTGCTTTTGTCATACTACTTTGCTTTGTCTTTTGCGCATGGCAATCCCTTGAATCTGCAAGCCAATCACCCGTACCGATCGCGTCTCTCGCCAGTGCAAGCTGACAGCTCAGATTGACCCAATTGGGCATTTTCTTGTCCATTCTTTGTATGCAATTAATAGTTGTTCGACAGAACGGATTCAAAGTAACCTGCTGTCTGCATTGCAATCTTAACCAGAAGGAAATCTCGGCTTTCCTACGTTGCTTCATTAAAAAAATGACCGAAGTACCGATCTAGTTTGTTCTGGAGAAGATAATGATGAAATCACATTCCGTGGCAGGATTCTTACAGCAGACCTATCGAAAGCCTTCCCAGGTGTGTGTGGGGGGGGATATTCGACTTGTTGTGGTTGAGTGGTATTCAAATCCAACTAATTATCATGTGCTTCCCTCGATAATTGGAATGGAAGTTGAGTTCAGCATAACCGCAGTTCCCTCTTGTGGATGCAGGTCAATTCGCCACCACATATTTCTTCAGTAGTTATTCCATTCCCACAGAATTGCTCAACAATTTATGGTGATGTAACACTTAACGTTGTATCGTTAAGGGTGGTCTAAACTGTAATTTATCAAGTTATTTTCTAATGGGACATTAATCAAATTTGGGTGGGTAGGCTGTTTTAATTTTGAATGTCATAATCGGGTGATGAGACGAACTGTTATCGCACTCTAATTCCCCCTCCCCCTAGGTTGACTTATCACATCCCACTCATATTGTTCGTATTGTTTATCGAATAACGGAACATTGACAGCATGTCAGAAGCCCATCAATACATTCATTTATGTCATTGTGACATGTGCCTATTTAATGCTGTTTATGATCCATCTAGAGATATATTTTTTCTCTCTCTCAAAATAATTGCTTGATCGCTTGTTATTTCTGTCACACCGTTATGGCTCTGTCGTGTGCGGCAACAGCACTCGACTAATGTCGTTATCAAACGGATGCTCCGCTCGACAAGATAAATGACCCATTCCCCGAAACAACACATGAGATGTGTCGTGCACGTAAACTAAATGTATTTGCAACCAGTTTTGGGCGAGATTATTGTTGGTAATGTTGTTCGCTTCGAAAACAGATGGATTACTCGTAAAATATCTGATTTTTTATTCCGTTGTGTTGTCACGATTCATTGCCTAGACCCTCGTATTATCATTTCTCAGGGATCCCCGAGAGCATGATCTCCCAATTTGACATGAAAAAATGACTGTACACGAACTCAGTTGTGACAAAAAGAACTATTTATCACTTAGACTTATCTGGTACACCCTCGTATAGCTCTATCGTTCAGTGGTGAATGGTCTATTGCAAAACAACAAAGTTGTCAACAGATTTCGGTTACAATTTTGTGTGTGCGAATTTCAACGTCAATTCATCCCAGGTTTTCCCCAATATATTTTCCTTGGAATGTACTGGACTGTGTGGAGAAAGAATATGTCGTTGTTGTCAACTAATTACTTTCCTGTTTCTTCTATCTCTCGCCTTACCATAGAATGAACGGGTTGTTGGCTTGCATATTCTAGGGCCGAACGCTGGTGAAATCACTCAAGGTTTTGCTGTGGCCATGAAGCTTGGAGCAACCAAAGCGGACTTCGATCGCACCATTGGCATCCATCCTACATGTGCTGAGGTAAGTCTTTGGTTTGTTTTAGCGAAATTTCTCTATCTCCGCTTATCTCGAGTTGGATCCAAACATGCCGCAACTGGTTAAAGTAAAGTGAGGTTAGCATGATTCAAATCCATGCATTATTTGAGAAAACATTGGGCGCTCGATGGAACAATTTATGTGTATTTTTTCTATCCAGTGAGTTATCACATGTGGTCACCGAAGATGGTGATTTCATGGTATAAATCACGCGGTTCAAGTAGTTGACCTCAAGTGAAAATACCATAATAGATTCCTGGTTTAAACATACTGGATCATCACGCATTTATCCTCGAGCATCGTTATTGTCTTGATGCAATTCCGTTGCATTAGACTGCTGTTCATGTACAGTTCTGTTATCGTAACACCTGTGGAACTGAAGACACCGATTCCGTACATTATACTGCACTGATCGTAGTTTATTTGTCCAAATCACTTTTGTTTATTTTCTGCATTCATGGATATTGGCCTTTTTGTTTTCAATTCCAGACGTTCACCACATTGCACGTGACCAAGAGCTCAGGTGTCAGCGCTAAGGTGACCGCTTGCTGAGGTTAAATCCCTATCGGAGCCCGTTAAAACGGTTCCCGGTGCTTGCCTGACTTGCTTCTTTTGGCGAGGCATCTGGGACCGTGTGTGGCTTCGATGGGGGAAATCCTAGCCGGTTGAAATTGTCTGTCCTCATCAGTCGTATTCAACCTGCTGTCCATTGAATCTCGCCGTTCATTTTATGGACCATGTTTTGTGTAATGACCCTCTGCTTGGTAAAGCCGATCCCGTTCCAGGAGCCAAGTTGAAGGCGATGTCCGCATGGACCATCGAATGGCACTCCCACCCTATTCCTGCTCCCATTTTGTGCATCGTAGTTTGCTTCATCTTCTTATGTGTGTATTTTACGAACACCGACTTCACTTCGCACTCATCTCATACCACGGCAGTGATGCTTGACTTCTTCTCTAACACGTACACACTGGCCCCGAGAAAGAGAAAACTAACCTGACTCATATACTTCTAGTGTATTAGAATTGAGCGATTTTCTGTATTGCAATACATGCAATTTCCGAACTATTTTGCAACATACACACAATCTTCCGTTTCTGATCTTGGCCAGTTTGGATGCACACACACAGGTAGCCGCGATTGGTCGGATGGTCTGTCGTAAGCAAGCACCCGTTGCGGTATCTCGCAATCACTTATTGTCCTTCCTTTTCAAACTGACCATTTTTCACACACTCCGTCGTTACGCGTTGTCATACGAAAACCCGTCTATGCGAATTCGGTAATCCTTAGATTTTTTGCTTCGAATGACTTGCTTGAATAGGGAGAGAGAGAAAATTTCCAGATGGGATTGTAATGTTTGGTATTCAATAACCAATGTTTTGTGCTTTGTGATTGTAATTTTTCGGTTAGTTTCTCCAAAGCAATCAGGATTATTGTGTAAAACATCGGGTACATCACAAGAGTTTGTAGACGTGAATCGCTCTTCTGGTTTCCCGCGTCTCGGTGGTCCTTAGAAATTCGTTGCTAATCGTAATCATCATCAGTATCGTTCTAACAATCTTGGTTTTTTATGCAAATGCGTGATCCATGGTCCGGAGGTTGAAGAAAGTACGGGTGATAAAGCATATTCTTAGGGTTTAGTTTTTTTATTACACACATGAGTGTGATGAACAGCAGACGGGGCGAACCCCGTAGTCACGATGATCTGCTGTTTAGTGGTGGAAACTGGCAAACTAATCCTCAGGACTTGGAGTGGCGAACCACATAAGACCCCGATGAGTTAGGCGTGGAATTGAACCGGACGACAGCACGGCTGCCTACCACCAAAGTTAGGTGGCAGTGGCGGGGTTCGAACCTCGGACCATAGAGTCCAAAACACGCTGGTGGCAGAGACTAAAACTACAGCAACACGGATGTTTGTAACCCACTGCTCACGGGATTAAGTAATCGTGATTTTCTTTTGCGCGACTAGCTCCTTGAGTATGAGTCGTCTTTACTGATGTCACTCATCATCATCATCATCATGCGTATATCAGCGGTTTGTGAACTAGTATGGTGCAAACGTGATAAAAATATTTAACTTACAGAAAACTACATTCCTAACTGGCGCACATTTGGCTGACGGATATAACAAAGCTCTACTTTGAATCAAACGTCAAATATGGGAAATAATTGTTCTTCGGTTCGGGGAACTCACATGAGTGTTTCCTCTCTGATTGCATCCTTGTTGCTAGGAGATTATGTACAACCTAAGACGTCATCCAGTTCTACCTGCTTGGTGCGATTGAGAAAGAAGATAGAAGGATCGTTGCCAGATTTCTGCCCCGTATAGCAGAACTGCCGCAGCATACACTCGACCCTTCACAGACAACCGGATGTCGCGACGGTGCCACAGATGTCTCAAGTTGGCAAATGCCAATCGAGCCTTCTGTTTGCTAGCTGACACTTACTCCGTGATGCGTCCACCGGGTGAGGTGTAGCTGCCCAAGTAACAGAACTTATCCACTTGATAGTTCAGATGTCGATGGGGGGCAGCTGAACTGAAACTTGAAATGTTCAGCCCAACAGTCAAGATAGCGTTGCTGATCGTGAATCAGTGTGCCATCGGATTCCTTAATTACCTCCCGCCTATTTTCCTAAGTCCCGCGTTCCCAATTAAACGGAAAAGATTGCGGTTGTCACCGATTTTCACAGCTTTCTCCATCTCTTTACATTTTCATATCCACCACTTCTCGTGGTCATTCCTCAGACTCTTGATGAGCTGGCCTTTGAGGGATTTGCGCGACGTGTCATATGTGGCATCAGGAGGAAGGGTTCTGCGAGCTTTCAGCAGTGCAGCCGAGGTCGACGATATCCATCGTTTGTGTTTTGAGGTTGCTGCAGGGTCCGACGTTGTTTTTATCAATTTCTGCATAGCTTCCCTGATTTGCTTTCAGTGTTCATTGAGTCCTTCGGCTGGAGATTGAGCTGATAGGCTATCGGAGAGTTCCCCTTCGAAGGCCAATTTGCAGCCATCGCTGACGTTGTATCGTGTGTATCCGTAGTCGGCGGCTTTCTTGCGGTTGTTTGCCAGACGTAAGAGAACTTGGCTCGTAGCAAAGCGTGATCCGTATCCACAGGTGTGGACCAGTAATAACCGCAGTCTTGAATCGACCCTCTCCAGCGGTAAATGATGGCGATGTGGTAGATCTGCAGCTAGCGCAGTGAAGAGATTGGTGGTTTCCATGTAAGGTGGTGTTATTTCTTGTGCGAGAAGTTACTGTTTCACAGGATCAATCCGTGGTTCGCGCAGAGTTTAAGTAGGTGATATCCGTTGTCTGTCCGATTGGCTGGGATTGCATGCGGCCCGCCAAGAAGCCTTTCAGATACATCCAGGTATCCCACTTGAGCATTGAAGTCTCCAGCGACTACCACGATGTCCGTTGACCGAGCACTGTGGAGCAGTTGGGAGAGATCCTTGTAGAATTCATCCTTGATTTCAGGTGTACTGCAATCGGTCGGTACATATAACGATACGACGAATACGCACCGACGCTTCGTTCTGTAGCTGTTGACCCGTGCTGAGTCGTTGAGATGTACGACGCACAGTCGGCTACTGACGAATCCAGTCAAGAAGCGAGCGCTGAGCCTTGGCACAATCCCAACACCGCGAGCTTCGGATACCGAATCGCCTGACACACGAAGGATAAAGCCTGAGGTCGAGGTTGGGTTAGAACACAAGGAAGTGATTGTGGTTGGGTCTTGTATGCGTGTTTCGGAGACATAGCATGTATCTAAATTGAAAGTTTCAAGGGTTCTAGCTAAGGCAGCTTGTTGACCGATCTTACAAAGTGTGCCGATATTGAACGCGGCTAAGTGAAAAAGGAATTTCGGCTTCAAAAATCCTGCAATTTCTGATCGTTTGACCTTGGTAAAACGCTGAGTGGAAACGCGGTTAATACATTTCACCATCAATTTTCACCTATGCAATGGAATAAAGAACTGCAATGTACACGCACACAAACACAACAACTATGACTGAATACGGGGTAAATTATTAACCGAACATCTGGCGTCAACGGTAAATGTTGGTGCTATTGGATTATCTGAAAACCCTAGTGTTTGCTCTAGTGCAAATCCAAGGTTAACGTGATTTTAAACCTTTTTCTTTTCGGGTCCGTACTACATACCTAGTCGGTCTATATTCACTGAACATTCTGAAATCTGCACTTTGAAGGCAGTGTCGGGTGTTATATTGAGTGGAGTTTTACCAAGGCAAAAGCTACATTTGAACTTGTTCAGCCGCTCGTTTAACCAGGTGTCGCTCTGTTCTGCCTGTTTGCGCATAATAAAAACAGTAAGTGTGCCAATGAATGACGTAATCACTATGATTATCATACTGAGAACGGATTTTCGGACCTTCCCGGTTTCGTGCATTTTTGTTTCCTTTTCTTGAATATGCAACGATACAATTTTCCAAAAAAGAGGAAGTGCCCAATCAAAGGACTGCCATATAACGCACATAATGGGGAAAGTTAGGCGGCGGCGGTGGTGATGGTGGGATTCGAGCACACGTCCTTCGGGGCAAATAATTTGGTCGTTTTCATCCACTCGTTGTTTTCATAAATTTGCGGACAGTGTTGTTTCGGCATGTGAAGCGCCCACCTCTGGAATGTTTAGAAATTCAAAGCAAGCCAAATGCTTTGACCATTCCCCGTTTCGTTTCAGTGAATACGTGATATGTTTTCCCTGTTCGTCGAGGAACTATACGGAGAACACTCTTGTTCTACTAGTCATTATCTTATACCAAGATCAACAGGGATAACATAATTTCTTGTCACTACCGTACAACTACTCTGCCGTTGTTCATGCACATTCTGTAAGGTTGGAAAGCTGTCGTGTTCCTCACTCCGATTCAAAATGCTATCCGTTCCTCGTAAGTTTATTGTACAATTTAAGAAGCCGTGCTTACTCCACTGTTGTGCTGCCCAGTAATTCTCCCTGGTGTGTTGAAAAAAAAACTCACTTACTGGCAAGGTCCCTAAAACACATTTATAAATGCAGTGACGGTACTGGAGACACAAATCGTCGACCAGATGGATTAATTAGAAGATCTGTCTTCCGAAAGAACACATGGTCTGGGCAATATTTGCATTTCACGAGCCTCGGCTCCGTGCGATACAAACTTGGTCTCGTTCGTACACTATTTCACAGAGTGCTTTAAATATGCTCAGAGGACTCTTTAAACGACGAAATTAACCTCTTAAAAAAAGTTCTGTACGCAAACGGGTATCCATTTGCATTCATCGCCAAACATTGCAAAGCAAGACCAAAAATAGAAAAACCAATAACTGCTCCCAAAATGAAGTTCTACAAAGGTGATCACGTGTTGGAATTAGTCAGCAAGCGGTTGAACTCTGTCGTCAAGCCCGTCTACTACACATTTGACCAGGTCATTCTCTTCACTACTACCCAGATACCATCGACATCGGTGAAAGAACCATTGCCCCCCTCCGCCAAATCAAACTGCATTTACCAATTCAAATGTGGATGCTCAACCATCTACATAGGCA